GATTCGCCTCAGTTTAATTTATACTTTTGTAATATCAAATCTTTATTATGTTTACATGCATCCCGGTAATTGAATATATTAGTGATTGAAATAATGCGTCATATGGACACACGTAAAATGAGAAGTGTTGTGTAAGTAATTTTTTATAAAAAATAATACTTCCTTTTTTTTTTTTTTTATTTGAGGACATAGGAAATGGAGGGAAGGTTAGTCCCTCCATCTCCCCCCCCCCCAAGTGGTTGGGGGTTCGATCCTCATCCCCCCATTCTTGTGATAGGGTGGGGGATCCCCCGTACCTTACCGTATAAAAAAAAAAAAATCTGCCTCAAATGAAGCGATCTCTTCTCTAAGAGATCGGTTAGGAGGAGACCGTCCCTCAGAAGGTTTCTTTGGCTTATTGGAAGGGTCTCTTTGGCCATTTATGTAATAGTGACGATTCACAATGCATGTAAAAATAGTACAAAGTTTAAAACTCCAAGACAATGACTGACATCTCCCCACGTGTCACCATAACTTGGCAAACGGCAAGTCGGCAAGTGACCTGGTAGTGCTAGCTTTGTAATTTCCTCTTTTATTTGTTCATCCTCGTTTCTTGGTAGGAAGAACAAAAGAAAACAGAGGGAGATTCACCTTAGGAAATAAGACGATTCTTTCTGAATTATAAGATGTATAAGAAGGGAGTATTTATCCTCCTTTTGGATATTGGTTAAAATTTGCATAAACAAGCAATAGTTTACAACATACAAATGAACAAGCTGAATCACTAAGGTGGGGGCCTTTAACCTAACATAATGCCGCAAATCATGATGGTAGTATGCTCTTCTTGTGTTAGGAAAGTGAATAAAAAATAGTAGTAAGTTTGTTGATTAAAGGTGAATGTTGAAAAAAAAAATTTGAGGTTAATTTGATTAAAAGAGAATAAAATATTTAATATTTTTTTTTTTTTTGTTGAAATAATAACAAAAATACTTCGTTTAATATTTGTTTAGGAACAAGACTTTTTTTATTAAATGGAAAGGTAGTGGTAGTCACCTGAAAACTTTTGAACAAAATCAATTCATTATTAAAAAGCTATCCGGCATGTACAAATGAAATCTAAATTAACAAATACATAAATTAGAAATTAAATATACATATTTCCTTCATCAAAGCTATGACTATTGAAAAGATCTTGCACTATGGTACATCCCTGACACATATCGCTGAAAAATGCAGTCTTTTCGGAGAGATGGTCTTACTATTTGTTGTAGCCGTAAGGATGATTCGCTTGAACGCATTTGAGAATTCGACAATCGTTGCGCTTCCGAACAAATGTTTACCAACGAACTGATAATAGGGTAAAGGATGATTACTTAAAATGTTTTTATTTTTTTTATTACGGAGTATTAATTATAAATAATTGATGTATATATTTCTAGACATTTAAAGCACTCCTGCATACAACTCTAGTACGGAGTATAAATGTATAATCATACTGGATAATACAACAAGTCAACACCTTTCAATAAAGGCCAAAGCTAATGACTTCTCCCTAATACGAAGTGTATTTTTTTTGGGTTAAATACTCTGTAATATTTTGATGATTTATGAAATTATGAGGTATGGTGACATGCTCAAGATATATTCATCATATATAATGGAAAAATCTTTAGTGGGAGAAAATGAACTTAATAAAAGTTAGAAAAAAGTGAATTGAGTTATTAAAAACAACTTCGGGTTCATAGGGACCACAGATTTAAAAAAAAAAAAAAAAAAAAAAAAAAAAAAAAAAAAGAAAAGAAAAGTGAAGCTTTCATTCTAAGCAAAGAATAATTCTCAATTTGTTATATATATTGATAATTACTATTTGCATAATTGTTTATATAGAAGTGATTAAAATAATATAAAATAAATAAAATAATGATAAAAGAAATACTAGTAGTAGAATGTTGAAATCATGACAGTATATGTAATTATGTACAAAGTCACTTTAAACTTATAATCAAACTGTAAATTTTTTTCCTAAATATTTTGCTTAATTAAATTACTGGTTGGAAGAATGATTACTAGTAATTTCTGTAATACAATGTATACGTTATAACAATGATTTATCAAGATTTAGTTCAACAGTGATTTTCGCTCAACTTAGGAAAAATGTGTTAGAGAATTTTTGCTTTTATAGCTTCGGTTCTTTATCGATCTCTAAAATTTAGTAGAACATAAATAAACTAAGGTCAAATTTTCGAAATCAAATTGAATTTTTATGGTAAATTAAGCATGAAAACTTTAAACTTCACAAAACTCGTGACGGTTGAGTTGGATCGAGTTCAATTAAAAGTGTAACGAGCTTAGCTAGAAGCTTTGTCTCGGTTCACTCTTTTATATATCACCCCTAGCTAGCCTCACCTATGGCATGCATTATACACAAAGGTGAACGTTAAGCAAATAAATAGGAAATTTTGTGTTTCAGCCCGTCTTGTCTGTGGTTGGCTACACTGTGTTACCACTTATAAAAGAATAAAGTAACCCCTATAATATTGACCAAGTAACCCATGTAATATTAACCGAGTAACTCTTGTAACACTGACCGAGTAACCCTATAATACTGACGAAATAACCCCTTTAACACTGACCAAGTAACCCCTATTACACTAACGAAGTAAACCCTATAATGACTGGTCACACCGTGTGGCCAGCCACATATAAGAATTTGTGTTTGAGTTTTGCTACCACCAAAACACCCTATTTTGTCTTTTGCTACCTATCTAAAATTTTATTTTATTTTGCTACCTCCTAAAGTCACAAAATATAGGTTTTGCTACCACTTAACAGAATCCGTTAGGGTTTCGTTAAGTGGGGCCCATTATCTCATGATATAATTTATTAAAAAACAAAAAGAAAAAACTTTTACAAAAATAAAATAAGTCCTAGCCACTGCCACCCCTCCCCCCTCCGCGTGCCAGCTACCGGTACCCAAACGATCCCCCGACGCCGGCGACCCCACCCCCTCCCTTTCCCTCACCCAAAATCGGCACCCCTAACCCTAAACCCAACCCTTAAAACCACCCTAAACGGGTTTTAGGGTTTTGTTTTTACCCGTTTAGGGTGGTGCTCACGCGAACCACCTGTTTGCATCCACCTGGGTCTCGATTTGTGACTGGGATCGTGTGTTAAGCCAAATTGCAGTGTATGGTGATTGAAGGGGCGGCTGCCATGGTGGTGAACAAGGGTTGATTTTATTGCGGGTTAGAAAGCAAGGGAGCTACTACGCGGCTATTTGGAGTTTATTGGCAGCGGAGTGATGGTGGCATAAACGGCATGGGTGGTGGTTATGTGTGTTCGTGGTGGAGAGAGAAGCGCTTTGGTGGCAGCAGCGATGGAGATGGCTGATGAAAATTGTGGTAATTGAGGGATGAAGTTAGAAGAGAGAGGAGTTACGGTTAGAGGAGGTGGGCAGCACGTGGGTAGGGGAAAGGGAATGGGTGGAGTCGCCGGCGCCGAGGAATCGTTTGGGGGTTGACAATGAGGGTGGCTGAGGAAGGAGGGGTGGCTAGAAGGTGGTAGTGAGGGTGGCTAGACGGTGGGGGCCCCACTAACAAAAATAGTAACCAATTCTGTTTAGTGGTAGCAAAATCTTAGCAAAAGTCAAATTTTCCAAATAAATATAAAAATTAATCTCTTTTGTAGAGTGAACCATTCGCAAACCTCTCAACGGCACCAACTAACTAGATGTTATTTTAAAGACTTAGCACATGAATTGGTAAAAGATAGGACCAAATAACTAACCAAATTTCTAATTCCTAAAAAATACTGAAGTTGCTTGTTTGGTTAACATATAAATTATGCAGGAAAGTTATCGAACAAGCCAAAATGTATGCATGTATTTAACTAGCTATCTAACCATAATAACCATATATCATTCAAATTGCAAAAATAACACAAAGCTAACATCAAGAGCACATTTTATATCCACACTCATTAGAGGATGGTAGGTAATATGGTGCTCCATTCCAAACACAAGCTGCTCGGGAGTTGGGACGTCTATCAATGGATCTCCAAGCTTGATCTCCTAGAGAGAAGTCATTGAGTGCTCTAGTCAGGACTTCCTCCTCCAAAGATTCATCACCCAAGGTATTTTTAGATTTTGAGCTTATAATCCTACCTCGTAATTTTTATGAATTAATGCAAACAAGTAAATGACATCCAATCACTTAGGCTTTAGAGTTCCCTACAAGTATGCCTTTGGTGGCTACCAACCTTCTGAATAAACCACTAAGTAGACAAAACTTATACTGGCTTGAAATCCAATCAAAGTCACATGACCTGAGATTGACCCAAATCTTTATCGAGTCAATCATTAAATATTTAAATTAATGTGTTTAATATTGATTAATTTATCATTGCATCCGATTAACAATAAACCAAAAATAAGGCTTGTTTGACATCGTTTTTTGATTTTTGAAAACAAAAAACCAAAAATTATCAAAACAAGAAAAAGGTATTCCCACTTTTCTGTTGTCAGTTTTCAAAATAATCATGTTTTTAATAAGTTCGACCAATTTTTTATTGACATAGTATATCATATGATTTTGAAGGAAAAAAAAACGAAAAAAATAGAAAATCACAACGATACCAAACGGACTCTAAAACCCGATATGATCCTTTAATTATAGAGTACTCCCTCCTTTTTTTTTAAGTGCCCCATAGTAACACTTCACGCATGCCGATGCAAAACTTTAACAAATAATATCTTTAATTATCATCAACTATAAATTATAACAATTGAATATTAATAATCTACTCATTGAGACGATTTCAACAAGTACCAAGACTATATTTTTTTTTAGGTGTATAATCCACAAACATTGTTCTAAGTATGTTTAATGAATAGTGTCAAATTCCCCCATGAAACACTTAAAAAAAACAGAGGGGGTACCATTTATTCGAATAAGATTTGACCCGAATCGAGTTAACCCAAATCCGACCCGAACAATCATATTGCTACCCATATCGTCCCCCATCCTGACCCACCGGGTCTCCGGGTTTGTGTCAAAAGTTTTTGTCTCGTGGTTTCGTGGAGTTCATCAAAATGCCAAAATTGTTGAGCAGGTGCAGAAAGCTGAAAATCAAAACACAAATGGATCCTCGTCTTTGGCACAAAGTTGCTGCTATCTCTGGTAATCTCTCTTCTCCCTTCTCTTCTCTATTTTGGAGCTTTAGTTAAGCAACATCAGCTCATCATTGATTTACCCAATTTCTGCAAAATTCAGGGGCAGTAGCTGTTGGATTAGGTGCTTATGGTGCTCATGGATTCAAACCCAAAGAACCCGCTTATAAACAGGTCAATTTCTACTTAATTTTCTTGATTTGATTCTTCCCATTTCATAATTTGTAGTATTCTTTCTGAAATTTTGAAACTTTTGATAGGTTTGGCAAACAGCTTCTTTGTACCATTTAATGCATACTGCAGCTTTGTTAGCTGCTCCCATTACCAAACATCCTAACATTGTATGTGCTTTTTCTTGTACAATTTTATTCAATTTATGTTTTTTATTTGTTCAATTTTGTTGCTGTGTTGCGCAATTTTGTTCTGAAATTTCCCATTTTGTTTTGGGTCTGTTGTTGATTTCAGTTTGGAGGTCTTATGAGTGCTGGAATTGTCTTTTTTTCGGGGACGTAAGTTTTCACCTCTTCTGCTTTTAATGTGTATATAATGAGCTTTGTAATTATTTTTGTGGATGAAGTTTAGGTGTATTGGTTATTGGATTTTTGTGTTGTTGTGAATGTCCAACAGATGAATATTGGGTATTGATTGTGATTTATTGAGTTAGTTATGTGGTTGTCTTAGGGTTTGCCCAAATGTAATTAACTAATCATCCATTATGGATGTGTATCCAAGCTTGATCGGGCTGCCAATTAAGAATTTTGATTGTTTTGGCCTAAGCTTAAGGTCTTTAGTATCTTAATCTGCAGCTGATCATCAGGTGTTCAATACAGCTGATTGAGATGAAAGCAAGAGCCCTTGCTGTCAATTCTGTTTGATAAGAAAGCGTGAGTATGAATGAGCAAGAAAGTATTCATAGTGCCATAGGACTCGTAATGGAATGTGGATCATATTGCTACACTACTTATTAGGCCTGTTATTGTGGTTCACGTGTTGCTTGAAGTGATTAGAAAGTTGAGAGCTTTCAATTCTTATGATCCTTTGTACTTGGTTTTTGGAAGGATTGGTTACATCATGTGTCTAGTGAGTTGATAAAAGATTGTGATTTATGATGGTTTGATAAGTGACAATTGTGCTCGACTTTAGATTTGATACAGGTAGGGGGTTTGTTGGTTGTATGTCCCTGTAATTGAAGATCATGGTGCTGTCCTCAAACATTGCTTTTAATATCTATTGGGTCAAGATTATTTTGGTAACTGTAGCCTGAAGAGGAAGTTACTCGGTTAGCTAGAAGAAAGAATGGTATCTAGAGTAGTTTCTCTTTAGATCTTGGGAATGAATCATGCCACTCAAAAGCTGGCAGGTTTTGGAAGAGTGGGGAGGGGGGGGGGGTGGGGGAGGTGATGATGGAGATGTATATAGACTTTACAGGATTCTGGAGTGACTACTTTCACCTTAGATGGGAAAGTGATAACAAAAAAATCTGTCCTTTTCTACCTGATATATATATATATATATATATATATATATATATATATATATATATATATATATATATATATATATATATATATATATGGGGAGGTTCCGCTGAAAACAAAGCTTATGGTGAAAACTAAAAACAATCAATCTTAGCCGTTGAATGTTCATTAAATAATCCTATGGTGTAAAACAACCCATAGAATAAGGTAACTATACAGACTTTAATAAAAGGACATAGAGGTCACTATATATAGAAATAAGATAATTATATCAATTTGACAACATTTACGTAAAGGTCATTCTGTATAAAATTAAGGTAATTATATCAATTTGACAACATTTACACAAAGGTCACTATATACAAAAATAAGGTAATTATATCAATTTGACAACAATTACATAGAGGTCACAAATATATAAACTTCGGTTAATTATATCAATTTGACACCATTTACCCAGAGGTCACTATATACCAAAATAAGGTAACTATATCAAGTTGCAATAATTTTGACGACATTTACACAAAGGTCACTACATATAGAAACAAGATTACAATATCAATTTTGATGAAGGAGGTCACTATATATAAAAATAAGGTAACTATATCAATTTTGACAACGTTTACACAAAGGTCACTAAATATAAAAATAAGATAACTACTCGTATATTTATGGTGTCTATATGCATATTGAGGTCACTATATATAAAAACAAGGTATCTATATCCTTAATAACTATATACAAATAGAGGTCACTATATACTAGTATAAAAACAAAGATATCACCACATGCCAAAAAAGAGTTACTATATGTATGCCTATCACTCAAGTAGCTCCACCTTCAGCCACACAACTAGCTACCGTCGGACCACCCTGTATCCAGCAGCTCGCCACTGCACCAAATCTCGTCCGCTGCACCGCTCACCAAACACCAATCCGAGCAAATGCAACTCCCGAACCACACCACGAGCAGCCGCCTAAACCATCAATTGTAGCAATAAATAGCAAAAGAATATCAAAATTCTAATTGCAAAACCAAGAAATCAAATCCGATGCATAAATAGCAAAATTATAAATCATATTAAACAAAATAATCAAAAGAATATCAACATAGTTTATCCAAAAACAATATATATAGGTATAAATTAGAAAATCATATTATCGACCCAAACAAATCATACCAAGAAATTAAGTTCAATTAAACAAAATATCGTTCAAATCTACTCAGTATGAATATGTACTGTACTGAAGTCGAAACTGAAAAATACAAATCAAATCGATAATTTCCCAAAAAAAAAAAAAAAAAAAAAAACGAGCAAATTAATAAATCAAACAAAAATCAGAAACGAAAAACTCTGCAACTATCCAGGTTCTAGAATCAAAGATGCAAAATTGAGCTAAAATCACACGTCAAACCTAATTTACTCAAATCAAGAAAAAACACAAATGTAGATCAAAGAATTTCATACGAAGAAATTAAGTCGAATTTTAACGTAATTACACTCATATGAAACGCGAATAAGCAGGGAAAAAAGCTCAAATAAAGTGTTTTTCTACATATAACTCATAATTGAATTCGTAACAAAAAAATCGAGCAAAAATTGTACAAAATACCTAATCTACTAAAATGAAGCAAAATCTCACAAATGCAGCTGAGAAATACTCCTATGAAACAAAAATTCAAAAATAAACCCAAAAAATCAAATCGAAAAATCAAACATGACATCTCCCTCCACATTTTTGAGTCATGTTCATATATGGTCAATGTCTTGCCGTAGGATGTATATGAGTGGGTTTGTGAGAGTAAGTCTTGTTCATTATATGACATTAAGCTCTTGGCTAGAATAAGTCTAAAATTAGATTTAGGCACATTCAACTTCCTTTGACCTGCAAGAAGTTTCTGAATCTTACTGTAGTACTCCCCCGTTTAATTTGAGTGACACACTTAACACTTTTTTGCGCTATTCACTGATTCACAAATTAGTTTTAACTCAATTTTTTTTTTATTTATATATAGAAAATTAATGTTACGTATAATATGTTGGATTAGTCACAATGTAAATTTTCATACTATCAATTTTTAATGTTTTTTTAACTAAAAGACGTTGAAGAAATTAATGGTCAAACACATGTCTTGACATTGTGAAAAGTTCTAGTGTATCATTTAAGGGGAATAAAAAGAGGGAGTATCACTTATGTGAATTTATACCATGATTTACAAAATTAACCTAGACCTGAATCAAGGCGCACTTTTCAGTCTTGAAAAAAGCATTTCTTATCTTGATATTTTACTTTTATACTACCAAGGTTATGGTTTATATGCATCAGTCTCGTACTGGATACTACATCAGTGATAAGATGCAGAATGAAAAAGTTTAATTTTCTGGTCTTGCTTTTATGGAAACATGAAAAAGGTTATATTTTCTCTGTTTATCAGGACTTGTATAATGGCATATGATAACCCACTTTTTTGTTATTATTATTCTTTGGTTGAGGATGAGAGATGAGGAGTTTTGTCACTTGGATATCACCTGTAGTTTCTTGACATGCCTAACACATTAATTGAAGGTGAATTGATGGATTGTGTAGAATGAGTGGTCCTAAATCTGTTGTTATAGACATTGGTGTATTTTTTCCAATAGTTTGGATGCTTTCGCCTTAATATTTCATTATGTTATGATATTTGTAGGTTGATCATTAGCCTTTTGTGGCTTCACATTGAATCTTGTCAATACATTTGAGCTGTTTTACGCTCATTCTTTGTGACTTGATGAGACTGATATGGTTAGACCTTTGTTGTTATGGTAACAATTGAGTCATCTATTGACTTGTAGTTCTCTGCCACAGGAGAGAGATGCCATGTGCTAATTTTCTCAAAAGCCCACTAAGATTTTATATTTTTTATCTTTTTGTTCTAGGTCATCTGGGATTTCATATTTATAATTAAGAGACTGATTTTTTGTTAACTTAATAATGATGATGGATCAATTGATAACTGCATATGCCAATGTTCAAGTTGAAAGGTCCTGTCCTACATTGATTAGGAGGGTTTAAAAGGTGAATTTTGTAAAGTTCTGCATCTGTCACTTAAAATTAAAAGAACAAATACGAATAACTGGGTTGGAATTATCTACAAGAGGATTAATATAAATCGAACTAGACACATTGAATGTGTAAAACTGGGACAGCTTAAATTATTATAAGTCTTAGATTGGAAAATGCAACGTATATAATCCCAAGTTCTTCTTATTCAGATTTTGATGAGATTGAGCTATTTTAAGATACCCTATGAAATGAGGAAGGGAGTCACTACCAAAAAGTTCCTGGAGTTACAAAGGAAGCTTTTTTCATAAATAATCCCAGCTTTGAGTTAAATAAAAACAATTTTTTGTTTGACCTAATTGCAAGTATATTTAAAGTGCTTGAGTAAATTATGAAAGGACACCGGCCCAACTTTGACCCTTTGGAAATAAATTAGAAGTTGGGTTTAGTTTAAAAAGTAGCATACACTTAGGATTATAGCTGTAACTGTAATTTAGATGCTTATCTCTGCATTTGGTATCTTTATAGAAAAGTTAAGCATCTCTTACCTTGTACAAGGAAGTTAAGAGAAAGCTTGCGTATGATCTCATTTTATTCTAGCATTGAGTCTGCTGTATCCTAGAGAAAGTTTCTTCCATTGAGGTTACTTCGAGGAAAGTGAATGTATGCCTTACTGAGAAATGTTAATTTCAACTTTGTCCAATCATCACGGCTTGAACTTGGAACCTCTAATGCAGTAGTCACACAAGTAGGACTTATAGATGTACAGAGTATTATATATGGTAATGCATTAGGTATGCATGTTAAGCGTCAAAATCTTGAAGATAACATTATATTGCCTGGTGATGCATGGTAGAATAAAGTTCTGAATCTTTTATAATTGTCTGATCAATGGTATGAGATGGGAGGAACAACTTTGGTTGATTTTACAGCATATCTGCGTAGGATGGTTGATTATAATTTGGCATAGTGATCATGTGTTCTTCAGGTGGAATGTTATATTTAGAGTGACAACTTATTAATACTAACTCCTATGGTGCATCTAGTTGTTAATTGTCTCCTAGAAGGTGGGCGGAAGCTTGTGCAGAGTTATATTGATGTATTTGTTCCGCATATATGATTTCATGATAGTCAGCAACATGTACTTCCAATTGCTTTAGCAAATCTTTCTAAGCCAAATCAGGTGACTACACTTCAGGCAATTTTTACATGAAAATTGAAACTGGACCACTTGACTTGTGGTTTTACACTTTTTGGAGTAGCGTTTAGGTATAGGCATAGCTTGCAGAATGGTATGGTGAGCCTAAGAAATGATTTTGAAGATGTAGTTAATATTTATATGATTAAAGGGTTATTTTTTAAAGTACTTTAGAAGCTGGAGTTTGCTTCTTGTATGGCATTTGGAAAGAGTGTAGGACAGGATTGGCATGTCCTACTAAGAGGGTTTAAATTTTAAAAGGAGTTATATGCCAATGCTTCTTGTATGGCGGAAGTGATCATGCAACATGCTTATATTCACTTTATTTGTTTATTTTAATGTACTGCATCCAAAGTTATTCTTGTAGAGATGCCTTCTTGATAGTAAAGGAATTCATTCAAGGCATATGCAAAGTGCAAAAAAGCGTGTTAACATCCAAATTGAATTGATACATCAAGAGTTCAATATTTTGCAGGTGCTACAGCGTGGCATATCTAGAAGACAGAAAGTTCAATAGATTGGCACCAATTGGTGGCTTTGCGTTTATAGCTGGTTGGGCTAGCCTGCTTTTCTGAAACTTCGAGGTACAAAAGACAGTATGCACACTTATTCACTGTAAACAGAACAGAATATTACTTGGACTGGTAGTTTGGTATAATACCTCAAAAATGATTCAGACATTAGTGTGATTGGATTGTTTCACTACATATCGTTTCAGAATTTACCAGTCTATCATGTTGAGTGCAAAAGTGTGATGCATCATCCCAGTACCATCGACTACTTTTAAGTCTTGATACCATTTTCTTGTGTATACGAGTATTGCTGTCATACTGTGGATATGTAGTACTAATTTGCGATTGTTTTATTCTCGTATTTGAAGGGTCTGAAGCAAGATACACAAGAAATTATAGTCATAATACTTGTTATACTTATCGGTTTGTCTTTAAATATGTACGCCTCCGTAACCCTTTTCTGGTTATTCTAATTACGGGTAGTATACATGGCTATTATTTTTAGGTTGAGAGAGTAGCGATTTACATTGTGAACATGAACTGCGATCGAAAATTTTAGGGAGAATATGTTTATTTTTCTGTTTGCATTTGAAAATACTACTCGATTGTTCATACAATATGAATGTGAACTGCTTTGTGCTTACATAACATCAGCTTTCTTCTAGCTTCTTTTTCAAAACCTCATTTACAACTTGACATATAAAGAATGTAGGATTATAATTAAAAGTATTATAAATAAAAATTAAAACGTAATCCTCAAGAAAGATATTCGAAGTGGCAGTTGTCATGACCTGCACGGCAAAAATAACAAAGGCAAATCATTAAAAGGATAAAGTAAGATTCATACAGTTAAGAAAGTAGAAACTTGTCTTAACCCCTTTCTGTGCACAACTGGAAATTGCTAAAGAATTGGTAACATAACACCACATGCACATTCACGGAAAACTTTAAGCACCTAACATTAAACTAGTCGATATCGGAATATATTGAGTTTCTAATTTGACTAACGTGTTGTATCAACTATTGATAATAGTCTAATGAAAATAGTCTATATCGGAATTTATTAACTGATTTGACTAGGGAGTTGCATCAATTGCTTGCGGGTATTTTCCCACAAGCATGATAATTATTGTTTTACTGTTTTGTTTGCTTCACCAAAACCAGAAAAGGCCAGGTTAAGATAGCATGTATATGTCAGGATGCCCATCAATAATATATGCACATGCACATAAAAATGCTTTTAATCTTAGTCTACTAATAAATCCATGTGGATATGATGGTGATGATGCTAGGACCCTGCATGCCTCTTTTAACTTGCTTACATATTTTGTCTTTCTTTTTTGGGATTCTTTTATCTCTAGTTAGAACTTCTAAATGCGTAAGTTATATAGACTCCATAGGTTAGAAGTTGTAAATGCTGAAGTTACACAGATTCCATAGGTCTACGTATACCACTTTTTATTTTTTATTTTTATCATTACTTTTTGTGGCCACTTAATTACAATGTATTATGTATAATAATTAATTTTTGTTAAAAAAAAATTTTACTTATTTAAAAAAGATATTTGCATGCAATTAGGCTAACAAAACAAAAAATTTATAAAATTTTAATACTTTTGACAAAATGGCCATAATACTCCCATTTTGTTGGGTGTAGAATGAGCCACGAGGGTAAATGATGTGGACGAGGTTTGTTTTGTGGTCTTCAGTATCACTCCTCGAGACTTTAACCAATTAAACTAATTGATCATCCACATTCGTATGAGTATTTTTTTGCTCAATTGAAAAAATCAACGGTACATTCAAGTATAATGAGTGAAATTACTTATGTATGGAGTATTACTTTAGCAAAATCATACTTATAATCAAAATAGTTAATTTAAATTATTGAAAAACTAATGTATACATAGAAAGAAAAACTACATATGAAGTATTATTTGCTATTTCGAAAATGATAATGTTGCCATTATTCGTCTGTAGGAGATTGTGATTTTTATGATGACCGATACTAGCATTATGCTAAAATAGTAATTTTCATGTCAATTTAACAACGTAGATTACTAAATTCAGTTGTTCAATGTATGCCATAATCTGAGGGGGAAAAAAAAAACAGATAATGATGTGGATGAAAAGACATACTTGGATCTTGTTCAGTGATTAGTGCAGCACCATTGAAGTAGCAATTACCACCTTTGTTTTTATGATTTTGAAAGTAACTGTTGAACACAAAGTCAGCATGATCTTTGGTTGTGTTGGGTTGATAGCATGGTTGGTTCTCTTGGATCATGTCACACTTTACATCTTGCTGCCCACACGCCCAGTTTATCGCTGTCTGCAATTCATCATCTGGTGTCTGCACATCCGCAATGCACCACTGCTGCCCTGGATCATCCTGTCCACCGTCGTCTCCTATAACTTCACAACCAATTACAGAATGAGCTATACGACACTGATAAATTCTTTTAGAGATTCTCTCTCAAAATCATTTAAGAAAGGAAAAACTATAAAACTTGTGGATCCAAACCAATATGGGAGGTTTAGATGTTCGCGGTTTTACACCCCTTAGACTTTCTGAAATGATCGATACAAACTACATACAACGACGTGAATGAGATGATAGGGAACAAAGCGAGAAGTTTCAATACCTGAAATCCGTGGAACTACGAGGAGGAGGAGCAAAGGAAGCAAGAACTTCAAAGAAGAGGAAGACATTGTGTTAAAGAGGAGAAAATTTTGGTAGGATGAATTGCTGGAGCAACAAATAGAAGAGGAAACTCCAGTTTATATAGCAAGAAATTAATTGATAATGTATTTAATTATATTTGATGACAAAGTGTGTGTGTGAACATTGCATAGAAATACAAGTGAAGTAAGTCACCGACTTGTAAATGGGTCCTTGGATCTGATTCTAATTGACATTTTAATGTGAATACTTTTTGGCACTAATTATGGAGCAACTTGTATGGTTATTTGACTCATTACACGTCTTTTGCTAGGAAAGAGTTGTGAGTTTGCCTCCCAAATTATTCAGACTGTCTTACACGCTGTCGCTGCCAGTCTGGATTCTGTTTTCGGAGTGTAGCACCGGAGACTCGAGATTGGATTTTGAATTTTACGCGGAGTATATATCATTGTTCTTTGTGGCTTCCTGACCCCTGTACTTTGCAAATGTTGAAAATAGGATAGATAAAACCTGTCTTTATTACGACAATCAAATTTTGTGAATGAGATACTACATGTTTTGCTATCGTTCTTCTTAACTGTCTGTTCAATGAAAGACTGACTAGCAACAGACTCGAATAATTGAATTTCCTCAGAAATTCTGCTGAAAGACAAGCATCAGTAGAGAAATATTTAAGACGAGCTAGAAACATGCAGCAAACATTGCTACAAGCATTTCCATACAATGTGTAAATCACTACCAAAACCTCCTATTTAACCGCAAATTCTGATTCTAGCCATCTGCAAGACTTTCCTAACCAGAAGCAAGTTGATCAATAGTATAAATTGCACTAAATACGCGATATCTGATTATAAGTATGGACCTGATTAAGCGTGAGGGAACACTTCCTCAGGGATCAGCCGAAACATAAAGATGAAATTAGATCATTTACTAGTTCAAATTCTTGGATAATAATGTTGATGATCCTACTTTATACATTTGTATACTTGTAACTCTGAAACAGTCACAAACTTCTTACAAAGTAGAAATTGTTATATACACCCGGGTGTACGGTGCACCCTAAGAGTATTGTCTGCTCATTTCAATAATTATTATTGCTCATTTTATTATCAAATTAGCAAACAAATACCCTTGGGTGCACCGTGCACCCGGGTGTATATAAAAATCTCTCCTTACAAAGCAATATCCATGAAACAGATAATTTAAGCTGAATTTAATATTGGTTGGCCTGCTCTATGTTTAAAAAAAAAAAATCCCATTTAGAAACATTAGCTTAATGGCTTATCATTCATATAAAAAGCTTAATTTTGCAAAAAATAATTAGTCTGCTTATTGGAACACTGTATTGTGTTGGAAGATCATTTACAATGAGCTTTAGCCTGAAAGAAGGAAGTACAAGTTCTTTTAAGATGTGAGATAGATACGTAGGCTCGGCGAATGAAGAAATCAATGGCTCTAATCATTCATTATTTTATAATTCTTCCATTAATAGTCTTTAGCAATGAAAACGATGGAAATTTTGACTATGTACTGCTTCTGAAATTTGTTAAAGAGCCTTCTATTGCTGTTAATTAGTATTCACAATCTCTAATAGGACATACGGGCTAGTCGAACAGTAATTCCTTATCCGATAATCTAACCATATACATGTATTAAAAGAAAGAATGTTCGAAATGAAGAGCCTCTAATTGTATAAATTGTAGAATTGCACTTTTTTTTTTTTTTAACAATTGTACTTCGTACTACACAAACACTAACACAAGTACTGAAGTATAGGAGAGCTGATACACATACCACCATTATATGTTTCTTCAAAAAAAAAAAAAAAAACAATTATTGTATGTAGTCCCTACATAGGACTACATACAACACTACTAAAAATTTGACACATTATCAAAAGAGGGGAGAAAAATAGGAGTCAAATATAAATTGAATTTTAATAAAACTTGGACTCATTATTCTAGCCAATAAAAACCTGACAAACTAAAGTTGTATGTGAGGACCACATACAACAATTGTATGTGTAGCCTTTACCGAAATACAGTATTAAATTATGAGGAAGTTCCAGTTTTGAGACACAAAGTTCGTTTATCAAAGAGTAATATTACACAGAGAACATATTAAACCGTAATTTTAGGGACCTTTTGGCATTGTTGTGGACATGTGGTTGGTTGTTTTTTATTTTATTTTTCAACATCACATGATATATGTCATGTACTCCCACAGGCCCCAACCCCTTTTTATAGTTCTCATTTGTAATTTTGATGTTATTCATAATGTGAGAGAATCTTCTAAATTACTCTTAATAAGACATAACATAGTCATGTTGGGTCTTATTTGATTCGTCTCGTTGAATAGATTATTAATATTCAATTGTTATATTTTTTACTAATAAGAAACTAATGATATTTATGGTCAAAGTGTTGCATTACCAAACGTGTACAATCCAAATGGGAACTATAAAAAGGGGCGGAGGGAGTAATGAATAAAAAATGATACAATATACAATAATTTTGAAAACTGACAACAAAAAAGTAAAAGTAGAAATAATTTTTCTTGTTTCCTGCTTTTTTTTCATAGAAAAGTAAAAGTAGTAATATCTTTTTTTTGTATCCTAATTTTGTTTTTTATCAAAAAATGTAGGAAAAAGAAACCAAGCTAAGGAGAGAGAAAATTAAGGAAAGGGGAAACCGACTTTAGCCCTAGGAGAGAGAAAGTCAATTTTTTTTCCATTAAGAAAGTAGGAATTTAAAATGATAGGCTTTGAGATGGATTTTCAAATTTTGTTGAATTTAATTTAATTTTTTAAAGGCTAGATTTGGACCAAATGCAAATTCAAATTTTAGCATTACCCAAACCATTTATTTGGCCCAATTCATAATTTCAAATGAAATCCATGATCCAAACAAGCCATCACATTTATTGATTATTCATAACTTCACAACGATAATGATCCGAATAAGTCATGCCTACTCACATATCTCATACATTACATTTGATGTATGCCTCATATTATTTAGCCCAAATCCACAATTAGAGTAAAGTGACTCATTTGTGTTGTTAAGCCTTAATCGTCTTCTTTTCTATTCCTTTTACCTTATGTTAAAGATTCTTGGTATCTTTTTGAGCTCGAAAATACTAGAAGCTAACAGTAGTTTGTTCTATGCTCTTTCGTTCCTTTCACAAGCTTAATGAATATGGAATACAAAACAAGTTAAGGTATTTTTTGATATCTCATGAAGCACTTTTGAAGGTAAATTCACAAATTTTCAAACCAAAAGTGGCTATGTAGTGTTAGTTATACTCTTTGTAACATTGGAGCAAGTAAGATTTCTTTGAGGAGTTGAACAAACTTATTTTATAGTTTATAATACATTTTATTTATGCCAATTAAACATATGTATAAAAATAATAAAAAAATAAAGAGATGTGAACTCTTATTATGTGAGAAGTTTATGATCACATCAACCCACAATTTTCATGTATTCCTTATTTTGCATAACTTACAACTTGAATATTTAAGTAAGCGATGTCACAAAAAAGAAAAAGAATATTTAAGCAAGGTTGTTATCCTTTTAGTTTAAAACAACTTAAAACTCATTTTCTAATTCAACTATAATAAAATCAAGCAAGATATACCTCCCCTTTTTTTTTTTTTTTATTGTTATTATTATTATTAATTCATAACTTTGATATTTGCACTATTCACATACCATGTTTTTACTTGATTTTTTTACTATTATAAAATAAATTAATGTTAGTATACTTTGTATATCATTAAATTAATTATAATGTCTATCTTTATAATTAATTTTTTTGTTGCTAACATACAATTAAAGATATAATGGTCGAATGCACCAAAAAAAAAAAAAAACATTAATGGTCAAAGTTATGTCTCGACAAATGTGTCGGTCAAAATGATGCATTTACAAAAAAACATAGGGAGTAATGGATCATACAACAAGAAAGTGCCGTCAATAATAGAATTTTTTTTTTTTAAAAAAAAAAAAAATCAGTTTTTCGAATTTTAAACTGCATATCAAGGGCCATTTCAAAAAAAAAATGAAAGGGCTTGTCCATCTAACAAAACTGTAAAAATGAGATGCAAATCTTTACTACACCGAGAGTTGTCCTCGATTTGTCATATAGCAATAGAGAAATTAAAACCATTCAAATCGTTAGACATGCACATCCAAAAGAACAAGTCCGTCATCACTTGGAAACATTTCCAGTCATGAGGATACATCCTCCCCTACAACTACACACAGGAGCTTGTAAATGACCTATAGCCAAACCAAGCACAGCCTAAGATCCGCTTACAGTAGATAATGGTTTTTACTGTACGGCTTAATACACCTTAAGTCTTGAGAAACCAAAAGAAAGAGAAGAAAAAAAAGTAACTAAAACTAAGCACAGCCTAAACCCACTTATAGTACATAATGCTTTTTAGGGCCTAATACACCTTAGGAAGCCAAAGAAAAGAACAGAACTAACATAAATTAAGAAAGCCACAGCTCGAAAACTTTATCAAGCTGCTGCAGTGAGCCAGTGACAGCCTCTTCAGAATTGATGCCATTACAGTAAATCTGCATTTTACTTAACCTGTAAATTAACCAGGGAAAAAAAATCAGTGATTCAGCATCCTTGAACTTGCACAAAGCACTAAAGTAGCAAACCAAGAACAAAGTGGAATTATAGCTTCTTCCCCCCCCCCCCTCCGGTTTCCCGGGGGGGTGAGGAAGACACAGAAGGACTTCCAAGCCATCTAGCAGATCAAAGTGGTTAGTGCCAATTACTGAGGGGGATGGGGATGGGTCGATGGGAATAACAAGAGCTATAGGGCCAATTGCAAAACTCTATCATGCTCAAAAGGTTGGAAAACATGAGAATGAAAACCCGTCCAAAATTCTACATGAAATCCATATAGTGTATTTGGTAGGATCTTTCACTCTTTCAATTAAATCCTTCATATAACAGGGTCTGTGCTCCAGTGAGCTAATAGAGAAGGATCTAATTAAAAGGTTTAAAGCATTAAACCATCACAAGATTAATGACTTTATGTACTCAAAAGTGCCACAAATAATCACTTCACAGTTCACACCTCAAAAAAGAAAAGAAAAGAAGCTCTTGTTGTTACCTAGGTTTCAGAAATCAACCCCGATCATTTTCCATTTTAACCTGTATTAGACAGTCTTCCAATTAAATTACTAAATCTAACGCATAATTTCTTCCAATGGCTTAACTACTCACACAACTTACTTAAAAAACTATCATTTATGTCATCACAAGCCTCCTTACCATAGCTTCCTAAAATGAACAGAATTTGTTACCTGGGAAACAAAAATGATAATAAAGATACAAATTGTCATTATATAACATAAAACCTCCTCCTTTCAAAAATAAAAAAAATAAAAAATAAAAAAATAAAAAATCTTTTTAAGATCAGTATTACGAGGGAAGTTCTGAGTTTATCTCCTAGATTAACTTGGAAGGGCTTGTACTATGATACGATTATGGTAAGAGGACCAAAACATCAAAAACAAGTGAATTAGTTTGTACGAAGTAATAGGCAGTTGCTCTATTATAGAAAATAGTTGAGTTTTTAGAGTTGAATTAGTTGAGTTGAGTCTTAAGAGTTGAATTAGTTAAGTTTTAAAGTGGTCATGATTATTTTTTCTTGTTGTGCACAAAATGTTTTCCGTGTAAAAATTTCTCTTCTGCATTTGAGTACCTTTAGATTTTGTTATTTAAATTCCGCTAAAATTAGCCATAACTAGCAAACAACAATTCACCCCCTCTTGTAGTTTTCGTCTAAATAACAACACGTGTTATGAGACTTTTTATTTTCTTAGTCTAATCTCCCTCACCAAATAGTTACTGGCGGGTTTTGAAATTTTGATGGTCTTATAAACACACTCTTATTACTAGGTCTAATACTACTAAAATTTTTTATATATAACCAGGTGCAAGGTGCACCCAAGGTATTTTATGCTCATTTAATACTTTTTTGTCATTTTAAAATCTTAACATGAGAAAAGAAAAAAAATAAAAATAAAAAATCAAATGAGCAAAAAAACTACTCTTTGGTCCACCAACTTCTATATGCACGCGGGTGTATATAAATTGTGATCTAAAACTACTTATAGACACTATATACATGAAAATTTAAACTTTATAAACAAACCAATGAAAGAAATTTTACATAGAATAGAAGCTTAACTAGATCCGAAGATAACAGGAAATTACTGAAATTACATTTGACAGGCAATAAGTTATGGAAATCTATTAAATGACACCTCAGTGAAGATTTATTTACACAAAAATTAAATCATTTAACTAACTATGATAACTATGGATATGAAAAAAAAAAAAGAGAGAAAAAGAAAAACCTTACTAAATAGGTCTCTAATTAAATAATTGAGAATAACAAAAGGATCACTGCCTTTATCATAAGATTGGAAGATGGATACTTATACCAAATTGGATAATATGCTCGAAAAAAATCTAAAGATCTTGATTACTATATGATTCAAAGAAGCTCTTATATAGTTATATCTACTTTCAAAGCCAAAAGGAGCACGGTGAGGAACAAAGAAATTCTGCCTAATGGGAAATTAATGTTAAATTACAAACTTAATTATAAACAGCCTGCCAATAACGCTACAAAAGTGTTAATACTTTTAATGTAAAATGATAGGCTAGATATTATGCAGTATGTGAACAAAGAGTAACATATAATTATATCAAGCTTGGAAAGGAAAATATGTTTGATGCTATGAGGTGACAACCATAATAAGATAACCTGAAAATGCAACTTTGATAAAATTATTTCAGAACCTAAGAATCAACAAATTTTCAATTAGCTGCCAAAAAAACTTACAATGTTCTCCAGATTGTCACTGCTTCCCACGTACATGCCACTGCCAAAGCTTGCTGGCGACAAGGGTAGATCATCACCTTCTTGGAGTAGAGCTAAACTCTCTTGGTATGAATCCACTTGCCATCGAGTCATAAAACTATCCATATCTTTAAGAGTTTGAGGGCCAGAAGGCACATAATTCACAACTCGTACATCTTCACCAATAACTAAAAAAACACCTTTCCCAAAAACTAGCAACAATCCTTTCTTACTAAAACCAACTGTACGTCTTGGTCCACGACTTAGCAACACCATCATCTCCCATAACCCAAATGTTGTATCGATCGCAAGAGTCGCAACTCCAAAGATTAAATTGTGCAAGAGAGTCGCGAAATTGTATTAACCCAGAATTTAACCGCCTACTAGATTCAACATCATCTTCAGGGCACGCAATATTCAAGAATATCTCAGTCCTTTAATCAAATGAAACAATCTTGTGCTTAAGAATATATACTAATACCAAATTGTACACAAAACCACCCACATTGCATGGATTAGAATTGTATACCATTGGAAGGTTTTTTTTTTTTTTTTTTTGACAGGACCCTTGGAACTGAACAATCAAGGGTCTTCCACGATTTTCGACTACGGGAGAAAACAGCAGTTGCAATTTCGTCAGGAGAATAGTCATCTATCATACTCCTATATGTAATCAACATGACAACTTTGTAGTCATTTGACGAAACATCATACCCAAACCCGAAACACGAACTACTTTTAACCCTTTCAATCGATAGGTTCAATCTCAACTCAGGAAGGGTGATGCACTTTTTTAAGGCGGGATTCCAAAGTATCACAGTTTTGTAAGTTGTAGCCAAATTTCTATCCCACAAACATATCAAACCATTAACACTACCAGCAAAGGTAAAGTAATCAATTGGGAAATCTAGGGTTTGAATTTGATTGAATTCTTCATTATCAGAATGCAAACTATAAAAATCATGCTCATAATCCAAAGTATATTTTCTAAGTAGAACATTATAGTTTTGAGCAACCTGATTATGATGAAGGTGTGAAAGAATGAAATCAGAGTGGGAAATTAGAGAGCACCAAGATTTACAAACACGCCTGAATCGAAGCAGCAATTTTACTGGCAATCTGATTAGTATATTCACCAACAATTCTTCTGGTAAATGCATGTCCATTTTTTTGAATAATTTTTGCTCGGAATTTTTTAGGGTTCTTTCTTTCAAATGGTTATTATACTTGAATTGTACTTGTACTTCGTACTACACAAGTACTAACTATACACAAGTACGTTTTGTTGGGATGATCCGATGATATAATAATTTAAAGCCATTTTTTTAATTTCCTTCTCCGTTATATTGATGCATTTAATAGGGCCAACTGCAAAACTCTATCATGCTCAAAAGGTTGGAAAACATGAGAACGAAAACCCCTTCAAAGTTCTACATGAAATCCATAATGGAAATGGTAGGATCTTTCACTCTTTCAGTTAAACCCTTCACATAACAGGGTCAGTACTCCAGTGAGCTAATGGAGAAGGGTCTAATTCAAAGATTTTTAGCATTAAACCATTGCAAGATTTATGGCTTTATGTACTCAAAAGTGCCACACATAAACATTTCACCTAAAAAAAGAATAAAAAGAAAGGATAAGTTCTTATCTAGTATTCAGAAATTAACCCAGATCATTTTCCATTTCAACTTAAATAAATACAGTCTTCCAATTAAATTATTTATTCTAATGCATAGTTTCTTCCAATGGCTTAATTATTCATACATCTTACCTGAAAAACAACATATATGTCATCACTAGCGTCTTTCTCATAGCTTCCTAAAATGAACAGAATTCATTCCCTTGGAAGCAATTGAAAACAAAAGATACATATTGTCATTATATAACATACAACTTTCTAAGATCAGTACTACGAGGGAAATTCCGAGTTTATCTCCCAGATTAACCCGGAAGGTCTCGTACTATGATACAATTACGGTAAGAGGACCAAACAAATCAACAACAAATGCATTAGACATTGATATTCTCTCAGCTTCATATTGCCTTCACTTGCTTGACATTGCCGGTTGCCAGAGTTATGTGATAAGAGTAGATACTCACCCTCTAAGAGTAAAACTAAACCCTCTTCGTACAAGCTTAAATACCATGTAGATCTATAACCCTCAGGTATATATTTCACAATTTGTGCATCCTCTACAACATGAGATGGAACACACAAACCACCTTGTCCATAGCATAAGCATTAGTCTTTCCTACTAAACCCAACTATATCATGTTATACATCATAGTCTATAGAAGTATAGAGAATTGTTCTTGCAATCCTGAAGTTGCTATATTTACAAATAGTGAAAGAGAATTGCAAAATTTTGTTAACCCAATACAGCATATGGGATCAGAATTCTGAAGTTCAAGACAAGAAATCTCTGTAAATACCTCAACACTCAAATCAAATGACACAATATCAAACCCATGGATCATTGGTTAGTTCAACAGATAGACAAAACTACCCATATTGCACATATGGTCATACAAATTCAACCGAGCAGAATAGTCAAGGAAACTCCGTGACTTTTTACGGAGGGAGAAAGCAGCAACAAAATTATGAGGTATTTTAGTTAACTTGACGTAGGAAGATTGGCTGCTCGGTTCGACGAAGAAGTTCAGCGTTGGAAGACTTGATTTCAGTTGTAGTGGTCATGATTTCTACTAGTCGGGCTCCCGGAGTCTGATTACTTAATAATAATATATTTCGGAAATGGAAACGGGCCAACAAGTCCAAGTCACCGTTATGCCGTGAGCGACAGGCTTTTTAAGTCATCCGAGTTTGTTTAAGGCCCGAAAACAGCGTTTAAACATTTTCCGAATTTTAATTTTTGCTTAATTTCGTATTAGGGCTTTGTTTAGACTATTTAAACGTTTTAGCCGTCTTTAATATTCAGTTTTGATATCTTAATAATACTCTTGAGAGTTTTACTCTTTTCTGGTGGATTCCAGAGTTTTTACAAATTTATCGCATGTAAATCTGTTTGTTCGTATTAAAAATTGCACTTGCTTTTCCTCCATCCAATTGCGTCATAAATCCTGTATGACTGTATCGGCTTGTAATAAAGAATGACCCTGACAACTTTGAAGTCATTTGACAAAGCATCATAATCAAACCCAAAACTCGTATCATATATAACAAAAACAGACCTACAGCCCATTATCATTCTTATAATCCCAAACCCATAGAAAGTTTCGAACTCAAAGTCAAGAAGGGAGGGGCTTTTCTAATTGCAGGGTTCCAAAACATAAGGGCGATGGAGTCTGTTAGGTCGATTATATAAAAAAAAATTAATAAATAGAGAGAGAGAGAGAGCGAGAGCAACATGAGGGAAGTTGCTGACCTAGGCATTTCAAGTAGGGCTCCCTTAAAAGAAAGTACCTCTAGTTGAAGAAATTTTTATTTACATGATTAGTTAACTTTCAGTACTCCCTAACAGCTGAAACTATATAGGAAAAACAATTTCATAGGCAGTATTACTTCCAATGTTCAAACAAAAGATCACTTGCGACTTAAATTTGGCATTTAGTAGTTGACATATGTTGTAAGACTTCATATTTTCTTAATCTTATCTCCACCACCAAATAATTCCTGCCGGGTTTTAATTTTTGACCTCAATCCCTCAAGGTCTTAAGAAACATCTCTTATCACTGTTAAATTCTACGAGATGACACATGACACTATGAAATCTAAAAACTTGTTGCAAGATGGGAAATGAACTAGAGAAGAAAAAACTAGCAGAAAGAGTTGTACCAAAGTTGCATGTTATGCTCACTAACAAGCAAATTCAAACAATATTGAATACAATGATTTCAAAGATGCTCTTATGTCTAGTTTCACATGTATTATCTTCTTAAGATATCTGGTTAGCCAGCCAGAAAACATATTCAGCTGAAAACGGTAAGGAAGTCATATGGCAAAGAAAGTCTGCCTCTCAGAATTTTACATTTAAATTTCAATTCTAGACAGCCTGCTATTATAGCCACTAAAGTGATTCAACTATAGTTTTTCAAATGGCTTAACTTTATCTGTAGATGGCTTTTTTGCATCAGATATGTAACATAATCTGTAGCTTTGTTCAAATTATATACTTCTACAAAGTAATTTGTACATGAAGTAGAGGGCATCAAGTGTTCTTGTGATCTGAAAACTGTACTGCTCACAAGCATAGTAGGATCACAAAAATATAATTCATAAGCAATTTTATCATACACTAAATTTCATAATGATGTCTTATGTGAGCAATTAGAAACATACAAAACATTAAAAGGCCATTACTATATCAGAATTTCAGTACCATGCGCAATTGAGCAGACAATCAAAACAAAATAACCAGGAAATGCAACTTTAAGTTGATCAATCAAACACCTAAGAAATAACGAACTACTAAATACAAAGTACCTTTCAAAAGCCCTTAGAAGTCAATCAACGGTCTCCAGCCTCTTCCTGCTTCACATAACCAAATTTGGTGGTTGATTTTTACCCTCCTTGAGTAGAGCTAAACTCTCTACATAGGACTCCACATGCCAAGCAGATTCAGGGCAAGGAGGCTCATATTTCACAACTTCGACATCCTCCACAACAGGCGAAACTACAACATAACCTTCCCCAACCACTAGCATCAGCCCTTTCATACTAAAACCAACTATACGTTGCTTAGGTACACGTACAAATACATCAAGGTCTACAGAGAAGAACTTCATCCACGACTTATCCACACCACCATCTTCTTTCATAACCCAAATGTGGTACCGCTTCTTATCCCACTCATGGAGTAATGCAAGTGAGTCACGGAAAATTGTTAACTCGGGTAAGAGTCCATACCAAATCGTGCTTCATCGGGACATGCTATCCCTGCAAACACCTCTGTGCTCAAATCAAAGGACATAATCTTGAACCGTCTTTCCCCTACAGCCGCTGTCAACCGATACACAAAACCACCCACATTACATGAACGAGAGTACATTTCAAACAGACCATCATAATCAACTCTCCTCCACGTTCTTCTACCAAGAGAGAGCACAGAAACTGAATTTACAAACTCACGGTTAATCAATTCAAGGTTATCGTTATACAAAATGATCCTTACAACTTTAAAGTCATTCGACACCACATCAAACCCAAACCCGAAACACATATCATGAACAATTTCAGGATTCCAGGCAGATCTCATTTTTTTACCCAATTTCATGGGTGGTTCCAATTCAAATTTAGGAAGTGTCATATATTTTCTAATTGAAGGGTTCCACAAAATTAGAATTTTAAATTTTTCACCCCACAAACAGATCACACCATTAACACAACCTATAATTGAGAAATAATTTAACCAACACTGAAATGGGAAATCTAGGGTTTTAATTTCTGGAAACATTTGATTATCAGAATGTAAGCTATAATTTTCCATTCTACAATCTTGACAATATTTACTGAACAACACATCATAATTTCCAGATTCCTAATTATGTTGCAAATGTGAAAGCACGAATTTGAGTTTGCCAATTCGAGAATACCAAAATTTGGAAACTCACCTGAATCGAACCAGAGATTTTACAGGCAATTTGATGATGATTTGGAAAAGAATTTCAGTTGGCAAATACTCGTAGTTATCCATTTTTACGCCAATTGATGTTGAAAAATTTCTGGAATTTTTTTTAGGGTTCTTAATTTGAGTAGAAGTGAAGAAAGGGAAATGAAAAGAAAGCACAACTCCTACTTAAAAGTGTTGTTCTTGCATGGTACAACTTTGACGATGAGTCGATGACGTTCAACGCAAGTCAAACTGTTAAATTGACTATCCAGTTTCCACTGCACATACATCAAGTCATCAATGCAGATACACGTCACTAATAATTTTAAAATGAAAAATTATATACGGAGTAGATGTCGAAGTGATCATTGATTCATTTCCAACTAGCCCCAATTTCTCTCCGTGATAAATTCCTCCTAATAACTTAATCCAATTATTATTAGTTGTGGAGTCCATATTAATGAACATTTTGTTAATTTACTTACGAAAGTATAACGTGATACCAGTAAATATTTTTTGTTTATCTCTGAAAAAATAAATGAATATTTTTTGGATCGTTTCCACTCAGATAATTTTTACTTCCTTTGTTTCTTAAAGAGCATTGCTTTAAATATTGGAGTACTTCATAGGGAAGTTTGGAAGAGTGAGTCAAATTGATTAAAAAATTGGACAAGGGGAGTTTATAGGAGAAAAGGATAATATTGTACAAATGGATTTAATGGGAGAAAGAAATAATAAAATAATACTAGATCATTACCGAAAAAGATAGTCAATAAATAATTATTATGAAACGGATGTATAAGAAAATACGATAATTATTACGAAACGGAAATAATACAACCACGTGAGCAAAAAAATTAGTACGACTCTATGAGTACATCCTTTTCAAAATAGTTCACTATCCACTTTATTTTACCTTGATTAAAAAAATTAAATTAACATTCCTATTATTTGAAAATATAATTCGATTATTTACCCATTACAGAGTAACATCTTTGATTATGTATTACTCTTTCCGATCCTATTTATTCTTCTCATTTTAAAATGAATAAAAAGTGCATTTTAGTGAGTGTGAAACAATTAAGACATTATAATAGAGTTTCTAATCTTTACATTACTATGCCGACTAACGCGCATGATGCGCGCGTCATATCTAGCTATGTCTGGGAAGTTATTTCGATTTGGTCCTTTGTCACAAATTGAGTTATTGGTAACCTTCATATGTAAACAAATATTTTAAGAGGATAAATGTCAGTACACTACTCTTAATCAACTTTTAAAAAAGTAAGGAAAGAGTCTCAATTTCCAAAACAAACAGAAAAAGAAAAAGTTTTTTTTTTTTTTTTTTGAAAGGTAATTAATATGACAATTGAAAAGAAAGAGGAGTAATTAATAATTGGAATCATTCATGGAGAAACTCAATTTGTGGAAAATTGATTTAAAAATGGTGTGAAATGAAAAAAAGAAAAAAAATCTTATACACTTATCATCATATTTATCTATTTCCAATGCAACTATTACCATTTACCAAGTCCTTAAAAAGAATAAAAAAATAAAAAAAAATTCTTCCTTCATCCCCAAAACTTCGACCCTTGGACATTTTTCACGGTATTAAGAAAGTGAAAGAAGAAGTAATAAAAGTAAATTGGAAAGTGAAATTCACATGGGGTTAGTAAAAAAGCAGAAAGAGAAATTAATAAAAGTACATGGAAAAACAAAATTTACATGGGAAAGCTAATTTTGCACAAGTATTATTGCAAAATGTAGTATTTTAATGCAAATAAGACGATCATTTTGGAAATAGATTTTGACCATAAAGGTCGAAATTTTGGGACGAAAAGTTTATCATTTACCAAAATATCTACATAATTCAAAGCAACTATTATCATTTATCAAAGTATTTACCTATTCCCAAAACATACATATCCATTACCTACTCCTAAAGCATATATTTTCATTTACCAAAATATTTACCAACACTTAAAGCAAATACTCCCATTTACCTAATAAGCCCAAATTATTTTTCTAAAGAAAAAGAGGAAGATAATTAGATAAACATAGATAATTAGATATTAGTCCAAAATAATCAAAATTATGGGTTGGCAAATGTGAAAGTCTATTTTAAAACAAAGGTAGTATTTATTAATTACATATATGACTAATTGTACAGTGAAGAATATGTGATAATGCAGATTATACATGCACTGAACAAATTATTAGCATTCTGATGATATCGAAATTATGAGCTCATTCCCTGCTACCAGACCTGAGGTGGCTACAGGGCGGCTGAGTCATGGCCGATAAACTGTTTTAAATCAGATCAGATTACTCACCAAGCACTGGCACAACAAGGGAGGGTAGATTGATTTTCTTCCAACGGTATAGACTTTGTACCGTTGATGGCCTTGGTGTCAGCCATGGTGGAAATACAAATGTTTGTGATCATGTGCTTCGATGTATTAAGCATGATGTTCTTCGTCCATATTATGACACCTCTTGGTTGGCTGGAAAGCACCCACATGGCCACATATATTGAACGCCTTTGTTCTACTAGACGAGGGAGAAGAATGACCTACAATTCCGATTGTAGATAATGAGAGAGTGCCGTGCAATCAATACAAGATATGAACAATGCAGGAGATCCATCTCCAGATTTGAGATTATTTCTAGTTGTAAAACTAACTATGAACATCTGAAAGCTTCAACCCTGCAAACCAAGAGATAATATAGCATATGCCTAGTTTCCTACTTGACTTTCTTCTACTCAAATATACATCTCTTTGTTACAAGAGATAGAACCAAGGCAATACATGCGAAAAGGAGGAATAAAGCAGCATTGGTGCAATTGTGACTTATACCTTATATATCACAATATCCAGATTCCGCTCTCCCTAACCACCAGAAGAAATAAAAGAAGATGAAATATAGTACTTCAATCCAAATCCGCCAAAAGAGGACCAGACCAACAGCATACTTTAAGAGAAGCTAACGGAAGCTTGCAGTCAACTTGACAAACCAAACGAAGCTCACCTAGCCAAGCATGTAGCTGATCTATTACAGTTTAGAAAACCAGAATAAAAGAACCAAGAACCAGCTTGCGGCCAAGAAAGTCACAATTCTAATTTGTTTTAAATGGCTGTAGTAGCTCCCTGGAGAGGGAGACCGAAAATGACTGGTTGGAAGGAGTTAAGAAAGATATGAAGCATATGGATTTGCATGAGGATGAAGTATTGGATCGTAAGGGATGGAGGAGGAAGATTTTTGTGGATGACCACACAGAATAATCAAATTTGGTTCATGTAGCCAACCCCACTTATGGGATTAAGGCTTTGATTGATTGATTGATTGGCTGTAGTAGCTCCCTTTCCAGACCTGGCGCCCTTACTCTTAAATTCATATCATTTGCTTTCCTCACCTGCAAATTTATCAAAAGCTTGATTTTCAGACACTACTAAAATCACGGTATCACATGAAACATCCAATTAGAGAATCTAATCAAGCCTACCAGAATCAAATCAATTGAATATGACGAAGACGAAGTCAAGTAACAAAGTATGGTTTTCAGACACTACTTATTAAGTAATTCTTTACCATAATTTTTATAATTTTATAAGGTTAACTTCTATATTCAGATAGATTGTTCGGAAAAAATGATCTTTTCAAGTAAAGTCAGTCTCCATAGATTATATTCAGGGTAAATATTTGTAGAACTGAACAAGTAATATGCTGCTCACAAGTCACAAGTCACAACTCGCAAAGACAGCAACAAACTTATTATCCGAAAGCTTAGCTCATGATAACTTTTTAACAAAGCAAATTAACAAAGCCTAATGATGTCTGATGTGAACTACGAGTAAATTGTAACCCTAGGAAAAAACAATACTACAATTACAACCATAAAAAGACGATCATAACAGAACTACCAAAATATGCAATTTCGATAAGATCAATTAGACACTTGTGAAATAGAAAGCTAAAATATAGTAACAAAGTAACTTACAAAACCATAGCCGCTCTCTTCTTCCAAGCAGCTCAGCATAGTCAAACTTTGGTGGTGACAAGGTTAGATCATCACCCTCCAGATATAGAGCTAAGCTCTCTTTGTACGATTCTACATATCATGCCATGCTCGTTGAAGTCCAGAAGACACGTATTTCACAACTTATGTACCTTTCAAAATAGAAGAAACAAATAAATCACCATCCTCTACCAACCATTAGTCCTTTCCAACTAAACCCAACTATAAGCTGCCCCAATAAACTCTTTATATCAAGGTATATGAAGAATAGCTTCATCCATGACTTAGCCATACCATCCTCTTTCATAACCCAAATAAGGTATAGCTCCCAGTCTCTCTCATAGAATAGTGCAAGAGAGTTGCGGAAAATTGTTAATTCGGCTGTTGAGGAGCAGAGAATAGATTTTTCACCAACAGGACAAGCTAACTCCGTAAACAGCTCGATACTAAAATCAAAGGACACAATCTCGAACACATTGTCCTTAAATTTTGCCAACCAATACAAAATATTATCCACATAACACAAACGAGAGTACAGTAGTACACTGGAGATAATGGGGCAAAATAATCTAGGGTCCTCCATGACTTATTATGGATGGAGAACACATCAAGCACTGTTTTAGAAGGAAAACCAGTATGTTCATACCAAAAGATCCTCACAGTCTTATCATGCTTTGACAAAGAATAGTAACCAAAGCCAAAACACATAGTATTCAAACAATCAGAGACCATATCACTAGCCTGGCCAATCTCATTCTTTTGACAAATTGTTCAATTTAGGAAGTTAGAGGCATCTTCAAATGGCAGGGTTCCAAAACATTAGGGTGTTAAGTCTCTTATCCAACAGACGGATTAATTCATTAACAGGGCCTATAATAGTGAAATAATCAGATTGACTCTTAAATGTGAAATCAAGAGTATCAATTTCATGGAATTCTTGATTGTCAGATGTAAGCTGTAAATTTCCTTGACAAAATTAAAAAACACATTATGGTTTCCAACAACTTGATAATGATTGTGATGAAGGTGTGAAATTATGAAATCGGAATCATTAATTAGAGCGCACCAAAATTTGAAAACACACCTGAATCGAAGTAGAGATTTTACAGGCAATCTCAATAGTAATTGGTACACCAGCTCATCAAGGAAAACTTGCAATGAGCACCAAAACAGTGTAACCATATTTGCCAGTACAAGATTGGGTTCGTTACCTAGTATTATCAAGTTAGACCAAATGCACCCCTTTCCTAGTGGGGATTTAAATTCACAAGATGGGGGGTAAAGAAAAGATATACAGTAACTATGCACCCTTTTCCTAGTATTGTCAAGTTAGACCAGCACCCCTTTCCTAGTGGGGATTTTAAATTTATGAGATGGGGGGTAAAGAAAAGAGATACAGTAACTATGCACCAAACTACCAAACTAGGAAGAAATCAAGAAGAAATGTGGATAGCATCTCTTAGAAAGTCAGACTTTTTTCCTAGTGGGGATTGGAAAAAACACTAATCTAGCCCTCTACTGGGTAGAAGGTGTCAGCACCAAGACTTCCAACTGCAAAGAGATTGAGACTTGAGAGTAACAAGGGCATACAAGATCTTTTGATTAAGCTTCCATAAAAATGGCCAGCTACTTCTGCAACCCTATCAAGAATGATCCTAATACACTAACTCAACGAATATATACACTGAATAATGTCATAAAGAATCAATATGAATTGAGAAACTTGTAGCAGGATGGAAGACAAATTTAGAAACAATAAAAATTTAAAAAAAATTAAAAATATTTATTAAAAAAAAAATCAAATGGAAACAGCTAAACCAAGTATTATGACATGCTTTTGCTCATTCAAAATTTATTACAAGAATCTTGGGTTATGTGATTCAAAAATGCTCTTATATAAGCTATACCAAATTTCACTTTGTATGTATATGTAATCTAATTAATATACACATTTCTAGACATCTAGTTTCACTTTTAAGTAGAATAGTATATGGCATGAACTTTTCGAGGAGATGATCTTGGTTAGTAAGGCCTGTGAGAATCAAATCAAGTGATGAGCATGATTAGTTGGACCTGAAAGAATAAAATCAGATGGCATGTAACTCATCTTTTCCAATAGCTTGCCAATAAAGCTACTACAGTATCTTTCATTATAGTTCTTCATAGCTTTATTTTACATTCAGGCAGCTTAATTGCAAAGATATATGTAACGTTATTCCCAGTAAAATTAGTTTGAAAAATTTGTAGAAAAAGTTATATGTGTTCTATTGTTGAAGATGTTCTCCCAACCACTGGCGGAGCCAGCGTGGGACAAGGGGGGACAGTTGTCCCCCCACTTCCAAAAAAAAGATAGTATAAATACAATATTTTGTGCATAATGTAATAGACCAAAGGAGTTAGCGCAATGGTTAAAGTAAGTTGCATGAGTTTGTACTTGTAGTCTTAGGAACTGGGTTCGATTCTTCCTGTGCGCTTTTTCTTTCCTTTATTTATTTTTTTAGTTTTTGTTTTTGTTTTTTTTTTTTTTAAAAAAAAATTATTATATATATAAATCTTTATAAGATTTTGAAACCTAATTTTTTATAAGATAGTATTACTTCAATTTAATTCTTAACATTACCCCATTTACTTATTTGAATAATTGTAACTGTAGTTCCCTTTATTTATTTATTTATTTTATTTGTTTTTTAATAAATCTTTATAAGATTTTGAAACCTAAATCTTTATAAGATAATATTACTTCAATACATTTCTTAACAATTACGTATTTGAATCTTTGTAATTGTAGTTTTGCATGAGCTTTACCCCAAATTACGATTGTTATAGCCTAATAGATAATTATGACAGTACTACATTTAAATAACTATATTATTAATTGTTTGAAATCTTCAAAAATTATGAACCCCTAAACAAATAGTTTATGGAGAAAAGTGGTATACGATGTTGATTTTTTGACTAAGTACTCCGTATTTTATATTTTGAGCTGTAAAACTTTAACTATTCAAGCATATTTTTGCTCCAATATTAAACTAAGTGATGATGTTTATTTGTCCCCCTGGTTTGAAATTTCTGGCTCCGCCACTGCTCCCAACAAACATAGTTAAGCTTATTTTCAAAAAGCTCAATTCATGATTTTACTTAATATTTGGACAATGAACAAGGTACATAAGTTGGAAAGACCATTACTATAATCAGTAGTTCAGTGATATGAGATGATGTCCCAAAACAAAATGACCAGGAAATGCAACTTTAAATAATAGTAGTCATAATTTTTGTCCTGTTAGCAGTAATGTTGGTGTAACCCTAAAATGCCTATAAGCCAGGAGTAGAGGGTGTGTTCTTGCGTCTTGTTAAGCCGCTGCCCAAAAACTAAAAGAATAAAAGAAATAAAATGCAAGTTTGATAAGATTAACAAACAACAAACGTAAATATTAGCAGCCAATAACTTACAAATCAATCAATGTTATGCAAACTTCTTCACGGTTGTCACCTGCATTCCATTGCCAAGGCTTGCTGTTTAAAAGGGTCGACTATCACGCTCGTTGAATAGGACTAAACTCTCTTTGTACGACTCCACATGCCAAGCAGATTCAGGTTCAGGAGGCACATATTTCACAACTTCAACATCCTCCGTGACAGATGAAACTAACAAGCTACCTTCCCCAACCACTAGCATCAGCCCTTTCATACTAAACCCAACTATACGTTGCCCTGGTACACCTCCATCAAGGTCTACTGAGAATAGCTTCATCCAAGACTTATCCACACCATTTTCTTTCATAACCCAAATATGATATCTCTTGTAATCCCACTCATGGAGTAGTGCAAGAGAGTCACGAAAAATCGTTAACTCAGTCTTACACCGAATAACAGACTTAACACCTTCAGGACACGCTAATTCCGCAAACTTCTCAGCACTCAAATCAAAGGACACAATCTCGAACCCATAGTTATCGATTTGTGTCAACCGATACACAAAACCACCCACATTACACGAACGAGAGTACAAACACAAAGGAGCAACATATTTAACCCTCCTCCACAATTTTCTTCTAAGAGAAAAAGCAACAACTAAAGTTCTCAAAGCAATAGTATTGTCATCTAACATCATGTTATAGAAAATAATCCTTACTACTTTGTAGTCATTCGACAAAGCATCATACCCAAACCCGAAACACATATCACGAACAACAGACCGAGGAAATCCGATTCTATCACTTCTTTTATACACTGGAAGAGTGTAGTATTTTCTAATTGAAGGGTTCCATAACATCAGGGTATTGGGTGTTTCATCCCACAAACAAATTAAACCATTAACACAACCAATAATCAAGAAATAATCAGAAGAACTCTTAAAATGGAAATCAAGGGTTTCAATTTCCTGAAATTCTTCATTATCAGTATGTATGCTATAAATTTCCTCCTTTAAATCCAATAAATATTTCCTAAAAAGTACATCATAGTTCTCATCAATTTGATTATGATGAAGTTGTGAAAGAATGAAATTTGAAGAGCTAATTAGAGAACACCATGATTTACAAACACACCTGAATCGAAGAAGAGATTTTACTGGCAATCTGATGATTATTTGGTGCAACAGCTCTTCTGGTAAATTGATGATCATTTTCTGCATTTTGTAACTCAGAAATTGCAAAGTTGTCAGATGTTTTAGGATTTTCTCTTTGTTTAGTGAATCGAAGGGGATATGAAATTGGAGGAAAAAAATGAGAAAATACAGTAAATAACAATATTTTTTTTCTTTTTTCAATGGAATAGGGAGGGGGTGATTTCATAAAATAATAATAGTCATTCGGCACTTTTAATCATCCCTTAAAAGATCTAAATTCTTAATACAAGAATTAAACACCTCTAAATTATTGGCATCGCTTCTGAACTGATCCTGGATAATTTTAGATGTCTTTGCATCGTACTTGACGGAGCTCCATTGATGAATAGTCGCAAAAGTGAAAAACTTGATTGATCATCAAGATCTGCAAATTTACAAGACGGATTTTCTAAATTGCACTTCTATACCAACAGACCCACAATTCCACATATTTGCAAGACGAATCTTGCAAATTTGTATCGCTGCACACAAAAAACAATCAATACTAAACATCCCACCATTAGGGAACTGACTAAACCCTACATAGAGGGTTTGACTATAATCACCATACTGTTGGTGATCTTTATTAGCTAAAAACATTAAATTAAAGAAGAATTTGGGGCTTACCATCGATAAAAATCGATGGCAACCCCTAAGTTTTAATATAGTGGCTAGGTTTGAAGAGAGAGAACAGAGAAAAGTTTAGGGTTTTCAGTAAATAACAATATGATAAACAAAATCGAGCGATTTCCTTCAATAATGCTGAAACAAAAACAAATCACTCATTTAAAAACAAACTAGATGAAGCTCGTGCAATGTACGTTAGTTTGTATTTTTTCACATAAAATATTTTGTTTTTTTTTCACATAAAATATTTTACTAAATAAAGATATATTTATCTGATAAATTTTTGTGATTTTATTTGCTTGCTTACTACTTGAATCTATTAACTACTACTAAAACAAAATGTCGCTGACGTCATCACTGTCCACATGTCACTCACATAATAAATTTTTTCCCGCCTAAATGCAATGATGATGTCATTTTTTTTTTTTTTTGGTGGAGCTACCATATTTAACAATTTTGAAATTTGAATATTAGAAGCTTCTACATTATACCTACAACCTATCAATTTATCTTTTTAAAATGAAACAATTGTAAATAGCACACTAATAAATGGACTCCTATCTTGAAATATGTATTAGGCGACGTTGAACAAATATTATATCATATTTTGATGAAAAATCTAAAACTATAAAATTGCAAATATTTTTGTACAAGGTGCATAATTCTTATTTATATTTATATATTTTTTTTAAATGTACAAGTTATAAAAATAGATTTTATATAAACCGTGCATCGCATGGGTTCTAACCTAGTTCTTTATTATAAAATGAATTGTTAATTTTGTTTAAATTTCTAATAAAAAAGATAATATTATATTTTTATAATTAACATAATATTTCAATTCTAAAATAAATAACAATTCTTTTTTTTTATTGGCTAAAATATAACATTTTGCTATGTGGCGCTTTAAAGTCTCTTGAAAAAGCTCTCCTTTGTGTAATTTTTGTAAAAATGTTAATTCCATTAATCACCCGAATAAATCATTTAATTTTATTCATGATATTTTTTCAACAATAATAATCTTTAGTGTCGTTCTGATAATTTTTTTTTTATTATTATTATAATTCTACGTAGCGCTTTAAGAATACGAATCTGGCCTAATCCTATTGTAGTGTTTTAAAAATATTAATTCTACGTGGTGTTTTTTTTATTATAATCGTATGTAGCGCTTTAAAAAAAAAACTAACCTTACGTGGCATAATTTGATTGTAGCGTTTTAAAAACATTAATCCTACGTGGCACTCTAATAAATTTTTTAAATTTTAAAATCGTACGTGGCGCTTTAAAAACTCGAGAAAAAACTTCCCTTTATATATACATATATTAGATTCCCAAAGTACCGTCCATGCAGGATTGGTATTTGGTTTGGTTTTTATGTTAAAACCGCTAGCAACATTACGGTTTTATATTTTTTTTACGGCTATTTCACCAAATGCCATTGAGCAATTGCGAAATTCACCAAATGCCATGAGCCTCTTCCAAATTCACCAAATGCCACCGAGTGCCATTAATGACTGACGGCCGTTAGTTGACCCAACCACTTGCCACGTGTCACCTTCTGATTGGTCCGTTTTTTTTTAAAAAAATAAGGATATTTTAGATTTTAACACCTGACAAAAACCCGAAAATGTTTTTAACGCCCCCCAAAAAAAAACTTTTATTTTAACAACAGACAAAAACTATAAAAATAGTTTTTACCACCACTTAACGGTTTCCTTCCAAAAATTCCATTAAGTGGGGTCCACAGTGACACGTGTCACCATTTTACTTGTTTTCTAAAAATAAAAATAAAATAAAATAAAATAAACAAAAAAAAAATAGATTTTTTTTTAAAAAAACTCAAACAACCAGAAGGCAGCCACCAACGGTGGCCCTTCTCCCCGGCCAACTCCCGAACCACCCTCTCCTAGCCCTATGTCACCGGGTTTCGCCACCGAACCTTCCTTATCACCGGAAATCGATGTACCCTCGCTTCCCGCAGCCAAAATTCGAGAACCCCCATCGAAAATCGTGCCCTAAAAACGGCGACGAATTTCAGGGGTGGCGGTTTTGCGACTGAGCAATCTTTCTTCCCCAAAAACGCCAGCGAATTTGGCCATTAATGGCCGAAATCGACCGATTTTGGGGCTGAGTGGCCTTAACCAGCCGATTTCGGCCATCAATGGCCGAATTTGTGGCTAAATCAACGGCCAAAAATTCGTGGTTGGTGATGGCGGTTGTCGGGCTAAGGTGGTTTAGGGCTGCGGGAAAAGGGTGGGGATGGGTTTAGGTCGGCCAGTGAGGGAGGGGGAGGTGGTGCGCCGGTCATTGCGTCGCCGGCTGTGGGTCAAGCTGAAGAAGAAGGTGGCAATGGTGGGCGGCGGTGGGGCTAGGGTGGCTGGGTAGTTTTAGGTTTTTTTTTAGTTTTTATTTATTTATTTTTTAATTATTGGCCAATAATAAAGCGATACGTGGCTCATGAACCCACTTAACGAATTCCTAAACGGAATCAGTTAAATGGTGGTAACAATCATTTTTATATTTTTTGTCAGGTGTTAAAATTAAAGTTCTTTTTTGGGGGTGTTAAAAACCATTTTCGGGTTTTTGTCAGGTGTTAAAATCTCAAATATCCAAAAAATAATTAAAAAAACCAAAAATTTTCAAAAAGTAAAAAAAATAATAAAAAAACCCAAACCCTAGCCACCACCCCCTCCCTGCCGCCGAACCCCGAAACCCTACCGCCGACGACCTGCACCCTTACCGGCAGGCGCGCCGACAGCCGCCGAAGCAAGTCCTCCCCTTCTCCTACTTTTTCCCGTCGCGACCCACCCATCCTTAAACCTCAAAAACCGAAACTCCATTAAAGATTCACCCACTTCCCAAAACCCGACCGAAAACCCCAAACCCGACCAATTGGTGGTCGAAGGGGGTGCGAGGAAAGGGAGGGGAAAGAGGCTGCCGGATTTTTTTCAAAGGTTTAAGGCTTCGCGTTGGTGGTGGGTTCAGGGTGCGCTGCTGTGGGTTAGAGGTAAGAAGGTGGTTTGTAGTCGGATTGGTGCAGTGGTATCAGGGTGGTGCTGCTGATGTGGGTGGCAATGAAAGGGTGGCTGGTTCAATCGGTGGTGGGTGGGATTGATGAGGGGACTGGATGTGGTGGCTATGGATCGGAGCAGCTGTTGTGGTAGTGATGGTGGGAATTGCAAGGGTTTGGGCTAGGGTGGGTGGCGCGACGGGGGAAGAGGAGGGGAAAGGGAGGGGGGCCGGCGGCTGGCGGCATGCCTGCCGGTGCAAGTGGGGTGGTGGCTGGGGTTTGAGGTTTGGGGTTTTTTTAATTATTATTTTTTAAAATATTTTTGGTTTTTTTTAATTTTTGTTTAAGTATTTTTTTTTTTAAACGGACCAATCAGAAGGTGACACGTGGCAAATGGTGGGGTCAACTAACGGCCAGACCTCATTAATGGCACAGGGTGTCAATGTGCTATTTGTCAGTGGCATTTGGTATATTTAGAAAAGGCTTATGGCATCTGGTGAATTTCGCAATTACTCAGTAGCATTTGGTGAAATAGCCGTTTTATTTATAAAAAAAAAAAAGCTAAGAGACCCATTATTACTGAAATTAGGTCTCTTTGAACTTAGCAATATTAATGTGGGCGCTCTCTTTCCTACTTTAGGCTAAGGCATGGTTTCAGAAAAGAGATCGCTTTTTCTACTAACAGGTCTCTTTGCCTCCTTACTTTTTTTTTCTTTTTTACCCGTAAAAAAAAAAGTAAGGAGGCAAATGCCTTGTTTAGCAAATGACTGTTGGCGGTTGACTGGTTCACTTGGCTTGTTTGACTAGTTGGAATGTTTGGCTGTTTATAATGACTTTTGAAATTGGTTGTTTATAAAAGTGTTTGGTAAATTTAAGTGTTGGTTGTCGGCTGTTTATTAGATAATTTGTGGGACAACAAGCCAAAAGCCAACAAAAAAACTACTCATAACAACTTTTTCATTTTGGCTTAAAAGCCAATTTTTTCGCTGAATGAAAAGTCAATTACCTAACACTTTTTTTTGGTCGTTTGACCACATAAAAAAGCTAAAAGCCAAAAGATAACCAAAAGGCCACCAAAAAGTCATTTACCAAACATGGCCAAAGTGACTTGTTAATAGAAAAAAGAGGTCTCTTTTCTGAAACTGCTAATAACAGTGGCGATTTTAAAGCTATAACCGCTATTGCGATTAGCGGTTTTAAGCTGAACCAAATAAAAAAAATTGACACCCAACACCAATCCTACGTGGATGGTATTTGGGGAATTAGTTTCTAAATCGATGCACGAAGGGAATTTATTTTTATTTTAGCAATATTATATTGTGGGAAATTGCTCAACAAAACCTGTTTATCTAAGGGTATAATAGTCAATATTTGTATTTATTTATGGGTAACTTTGTAATTTTGGGGATAAAAGAGGTTAATGAAGTTAATGGATAATAGGGGATTTAAAGTGCTTCAATGGAGAAATCAGTAGGTGCAATAGAGCAAATCGAGCTCATGAACTACATCAATGGAGGAAGACGAAAAGTCGTACTCTTTGAGGTTAACCATACCATTCATTTCTTTTAAGGTTTATGTTTAATTCGGCGGCGAAGCCGCCGAAAATAAGGTAGTGGAGATGGTGGGTCACGAGGAGGAAGCTTCAACGATCCATTTCCATGGCGGAAAAAGCTTCAATAATGAAGTCAAAAGCTTCAAACAACGTCGGCATGGTGGGTCACGAGGAAGAAGCTTCAATAATAGTGATAAATTGGCATATTTCACTGTTCTTAATATTTACAATTGAGCCATTAGATAAACATGATATGTTTATATAATTGATAAATTGGGACAATGTAATACTATATGTGTGTATAAAATATAAATAAATAAATATAT